AAGAATTCAGTCTGTTTTAGGAAACTAACTTCAAAGATCAGACAGAGTTACGTTTAGGGTAAATTAGTAATTAGTTTAAGCAGTCTTTAAGACAATGTCATATGAAATATCTGTCTAATGTTTGTAATCAAACTGTCACCCTCTTACGATGCAGAAAATTATGTATCTTAAAGAAAAACCAGATTTTCAGAGGAGATTGACCTCATGGCTCAGGCTCCAGTTTTGTCTTTGGTTCCATTTCTGCTTCTGAGAAAGTGACTCATGACTGTTAATAGGTAAACCAAGGAGGGGCAGCTTGCCCTTGGGAAGAACATTTAGTATGTTTTAAACAGACTAACTGAAGACCTCCTACAGGAAACATCCATCCTGTATTATCTTGCTAATCATTAGTTCTCTAATGAAAACTTGTCACATGTAAATTTGTCTATATTTTTTGTTTCCTCTAGACAAACTTTGAGTGCTCTTTATAGATATGTATTTCTGTGCGATAGATCCAACTATACTAAATTAGATGATCCTTTCCAACTGATAGTGAATTTATGTGGGCAATCGCTTGTTTAGATGGCTGACGAATGTGTGGACAATGCACTCTGAGAACTTTAGGATTATCTTTAAGTATTCATAGTAACAATGCTAGTAAATATTGAAAAGGTAATGTTAAAATTGTAAAATGAAAGTCAGAAGAAAACCCATTGGCCCAACATTCAGGGTATGGTTGGTAGCTTTAATTCCTACTTATGGTATATCTGAGTTGGAGAAATCTTTAAGAAAAATTTGTCAGTCACTATGGGACAAATAACAGATGAGACAGAAGCACAACAGTGATCTCTGATCTCATAAGCCAAGGTGACATGAGACAACAAAATAACCTTAGATTTTTTTTATTAGTCCAAGAGTAGTCTGTGCTGTAGACAAGCTATACATAGAATTAGACAGCAAGCTACTTGATTACACACTGTCACACCCTTACAAACAGCAGATCTATTTGGTTGGTTACCATCAGGAATAAGTACATGGGCTAGATTACTACTGCAAGGAATAGTAATATTCTTAGTCTACATCCTGATAGTATTAGGCATTATAAAATTTATCCTCTATTGTCTTATGTAAGAGGCAAAAGAAGGCCTCAGGCTAAACTGTTGATGTACATTGAGTCTGCTCACTCCGGCAATGTTACTGATGGGAGCATCGCTCTTACTTAATAACCTGGTGAAGAACCAGATGGTATTTGGTGGAAAACCAGCACCATGAGTTTAAAGAGCCTGCAATGGCCGCCATCTAGGAGCTTGACTAAGTCCAGGTATTGATCATCGATGCGTTATCTACAATCTCCGATCAAAAGGAGGGACTGATGTAGGAAATAATATTGGAGTTACTATTCCCTCTCCTTGAGCATACAGAATGTGACCCAGCTGAAGCTGGGCTCACAAGGGCTCACAAGGATTCATAAGGACACATCAACTGGGCCCTGAGGTATAAAGACAATAGCTAAGATAATCTTGGAAAACATCTTAAGGAAGTTTTCACAAAAGCCCATCAAACAGAACATAAAAGACTTTCCACTCTTATCTCTTTCTATTAGCATTTAGTGAATAGAAATTTGTTGGACCAATGAAGACCCTCCTGACTTTCGTAACTGAAACCCTATCAATGATTGTTAAGAAAGATGATTCAAAATGTAAGATTATAATTTCTAGCCAATCAGTGAAAAAGTGATGCTTTCAAGGATTCTACCCATTTTGTGATGTTGATATATACTGATGGCTCTGTAACTGTTCTTTGGATTTGGGCAGACATGGCTGTGGCAGCATGCTTGTCCATTTTCCCCTTCTCATCTATTCTGTAATATTCTTTGGACTCAGGCAGACATGGCTGTGGCAGCATGCTTGTCCACCTCCCACTTTTGTTCTTTTGAATATATGCCAAACAAAACTTTCTTTTTACTTTTAAAAAATAAAATAGAACCAAACTGATTAATTAGATTAAAGCATTTATTCTTTTTTAATAAAATATTTCCAGATAATAAACTTCTAACAGTATCAACTACATGTACAGAAGTTGTAAAAAATAATGCATGTACCTACATTCAAGGTCTTTTCCCTCAGACACATCCCTACTTGTTCAGAGTAATTTCGCATAGTAGGCAATACAGGTGGTTTATCATTTTACCTTTATGAATTTTGATGACTACATTTGCTAAATGTAAAAACAGAATAAGTAACTAGAAAGCAAAAACTTTTCATATCTTTAAATGTCTCCACAGAGATCAAATTTATCTAGTATAACTAAAGGTTATTCTTGCACTTCAGTCAAGGATTGAGTGAGAATATTTTTTTAACTTACTGAAAGTTTTGAAGTTGCTGTTATTTTTCCAAAGGTGTTTGGTAAAGAGTAAATAAGTTATCGTTGGCCAACTACAACTGTAAGTTAAAATGGTAAGCTATGTCTTTGGGTGAAATGTTAACTCTACAGCTTAAATGGCTGACCTGGAAAGATCACAGATACCACTGTTAGGCACTGAAAATTAAGGCTGTGAGAAAGCAAAACTTTACATCATGGTCTTTCAGAAATCCACCTCCCAAGTAAGACTGCCTCAAAGAGAAATGTGAGACTCATCCTCAACTGCTTCAGGCCTCAAAGAGGGTGAGGAGCCAAATGCACGGAAGTGTTTGTTTGCATGCTATCCACAATTATACAGCGCTCATACAGAAAACTGACTCTGGAAAAACTATATAATCAAAATGAAATCAAAGAGCAGATATAGAAAAAGTTCATTTCAATGTTGAAATAACTGTAGAAATTTATTATATCAAATGGTAATGTTAAATGAAACTGTGCCGTAAAGTCAACTGGATTACTTGACCTTAAGTAATATAATACATTGGTGTTTAGAAAATACAATTATAGGAGATATGAGAGCAACTGTCAACAGTCAGATTTTAACAAAGCAATAATCCTATTGTCTTTAAAATTTTTATATTCATTGAAATTTCTCATATTATTGGTGAATCAATAATAGTCACTTGCTGATATCAGAATATAAAACATTAAGCTATGGAAGAGAAGATATACTTTAGATTTCAAAAATACAAAATTTTCAATATGCACCAAAAGAGCATTTTACCTGTAAAATCCCAAGCAACATGACTTGAGTTCTCACTGCTATTCCATCTGACAATCTGAATTCTCAGGGAGGAAGCACAATTTTCATTCACCAAATGAGCTATTCTCTGAATCCCTCAAATTACTACTAAGAACAGCAGCCTACATGTAAATCACGAGCTGCTCTCTCCCTTGTGGCTGCTCCACCTTAGAAACAGCAGATGGGTATGGCTGCTGAAGCCAAGGTGAGCACTGAAGCTTACAGCATTCCCTTCCTCTAACAACCTGTCTGCTTGAACTCCATTAACTACCAGCCTGGCACTCCCCACCCCTGCCTAAACCAATGAAATCCTATACAGAGGGGCCCAGAATGGCAAGAACAGCATGTATGTAAACCACAGTAGGGTAATCTTCCATGATTTCACAATCAGGAGACAAATGGCAGTACACATGAATAGAGAATAAGGAGGAAGAGGCCTCGGTGGGAGGGGTGGTGGGCTCTATTCTACTTGTTCCCCCTAAAAATATAGCCAATATTTCTCATTCATTTTTTTCAGTATGTCCAGTCAGACTCTTCTAATAGGTCAACCCTAGTTTCCATCTCCTCACAAATCAGAATTCAGAACTGAGGTCTGTGTCCCCCAAAATCTACTTATCCTTCAAGAATAAGTCAAAGGTTACCAACTCTATAAAGCCTTCTTCAGTCTCACAGTCAAAATCAACTTCTTCATCTTTCACGCTCTCATTTGACTTGCATGTATATCCCTACTTCGATAGTCTTTAAGGCCTGTGAGGACACAGACCTTTGCCATATCCATCTTTTCAACCCTAGCTCCTAGTACATATCAGACATAATAAACTACAATAGCATACTTATTAAGGGAGGCATTGGTGGTCATGGAACCAAATAAACCAATGCACCCAAGATCAATTGCCATCTCAGGCCAAAAAACCTCACACCCACACACATGTATATGATAAAATCACAAAAAAAATGAGAAAGGGATATAGGTTATAAATGAGGCCACTTTATTACTAACCAGATGTCCTTGGAGTGTCACTACTTGCATGCTCTGCTGTCTCTTAAGGAACAACTATTATGGTCTAATGATCAATTCCGTAGTTGGTGGGATTCTCAAAGATGCCAACAGGAGCAACACCCTTATAACAGGTACATTAAAAACAAGACGGAGATGCATCCTAAGCTCTAATTACCTGTAATGCTCACTGATGGGAACATGCTGAGAGAAATATAGAGCTGATGTCCGTGCTCTCCAGTGCCATTTCTTTGCAGGAAGGGTATAAAGGACACAGTCTTCTAACTCTTCTTGGAGCAGATCCACCAGCTGTTTATGGGACCCTCCATAGAATGCCTCAATGATGAGAACACTCATTGGCCCTTTCAAACCTTCACAGATTCTAGACAACAAGCAAAGAAATTTTTTTCAAATATATATATATATACATATGTGTGTATATATACACATACATATATAAGATTTTTAAAATAAGTTTAAATTTTATGCTCAGAGATTTTTTTAAATAAGTTTAAATTTTATGCTCAGAGACTACAAATCATTTACAGTCACATCTTATTTTTTTTAAATAAGCTTATCATGCTTTTTAAAAAAGTGTATTACATTTAAGGTTTCTATTTTTTGTGATCGGTATTTTTATGTCATTCATGTTAATAAGAGGAAATAAAGGTTTTTTTTTTTTTTTTTATTTCTGTTTTCTTCACGCCCTAAGATGACTTCCGCTATGACTCAGTTTCTTCTCCTATCCCAGAAGTTTCAAGCCTTCTCCTGCTTTATTACTCACTTCCCAGTTGGAATGGTTGGCACCCTAACTCAGTAACCTCAGAATCTGCTTTACCTAGAACTTGAATCTTGAACAGTCACTAAACTCATCTCCTAACTAAGACTTCCATTCCAAGAGCCATTCGTTTGTAAAGCCCTTTCCAGTTCACAAATCCTTTGACTCGGTAACTCTGATAGTAATCCATCTTTAAATTTACCAGCTATCACTGCCCCAATGAATCCATATGTAGAAGAAAACATATTCATAACATTTTATGATATTGGTGAGGGAGTTAAATCTCAATTCTCTAGTGTTGAAACTCTTAGGACACAATTTGTTGAGACACTGCACTTTGACCAGTTCCCCACTACTGTCAATATCCATCCCCAAAAGAACACCAAAAAAGTGGGGTAAGCTATAAGCCTGTGAACCAGCAGGGTTTCTACAACCTTCTTTAAACAGAAGCCCACTGAGAGCGATAAATAGCAATAATGGGAATATTAAAGACGTTGTGAAATTTCTTCACAGGAGAATTGGTTATCAAGCCATTTTTTTGTCTTAATGGTATTTTTGTTTATATGCTCAGTGAAATAAAAATACATGTATTAAGGGTAAAAAATTTATATACATTTCAATATACACTATTTCCTGTCAGAAATAAGGGAGAAACATCACTGTACATGTAAATACTATATTGTTTAAAAAATATTCCACATGAACATTAGTTCAAAGGACAAATGGACCACAAGTACCACAGCCTCCACCAGACTGAGTCCAGCACAACTAGATGGTGCCTGGCTACCACCACCGACTGCTCTGACAGGGATCATATAGAGGGTCCCAGACAGAGCTGGAGAAAAATGTAGAACAAAATTTTAACTCACAAAAAAAAAAAAAGACCAGATTTACTGGTTTGACAGAGACTGCAGAAACCCTGAGAGTACGGCCCCCAGACACCCTTTTAACTCAGTACTGAAGTCACTCCTGAGGTCCATCCTCCAGCCAAAGATCAGACAGGTCCATAAAACAAAACGAGACTAAATGGGCACGCTAGCTCAGATGCAAGGATGAGAAGGCAGGAGGGGACAGGAAAGCTGGTAATGGGGAACCCAAGGTTGAGAAGGGGAGATTGTTGACACATCGTGGGACTGGCAACCAATGTCACCAAAGAATATGTGCATTGTTTAATGAGAAACTAGTTTACTCTGTAAACCTTCATCTAAAGCACAATTTAAAAAAAAAATTCCATGTCTGAATTTTCCTTTATGACTTAAGTAAATACCATTCATTTAACAGCATATTATTTTTACTAATGCTGTTCCACAAAAACAGTAGTCTCAATGACTCAATGATGCGCTTCACTAATAAAATTACACTTCACCTGGCTCAGTCAAAGCAACGCCTCCTTACATTGTGTTTCACAGTAAACTCTCAAGTGGTTCTCAAAGAATTAGTTGAGATGAAAAGTTTTCTTGATGTCTGAATCTTCCAATGAGCATTTTTCTGGGGAAAAATTATATTCATATTTTACTTACATGCAAAATAAGAGGCAGTGTTTCTCAGACGGAAAGGCATGAGCCCTGGGATCAGGGTTATCTAAATTTGAACTTAGCTCTGTCACTTATTAGCTGTATATGACTTTGGACAAATTACCTAACTTTGTAGGACTCAGTCTCTTCTTCTCTAAAATAGGGATAACATTACTAGCCTCAGAGGCACATTGTGAAGATAATACATGTGAAGCACAGTAGCTTGCACATACTAATAAGGCATTTCATCCCTTTCTATATTAGCATAAATCACCCTGCTTAAGGAGAAAGAATATCCTGGTGTCCTCCAGCATGTTAAACACAGTTATTGTCAACCACAGTCCCTATCCACCAGAAAGATCATGACATGGCAAAGGTGCATGTACACATGCATTTGAAATGCATCCTCAGCAGCAGCTCACATTTCAAGTATGACTGTGAGAACCCTACAGGTTTTGTGGGTAAGAAGTGAGCTCAGAGATTGAGCTATGCAGAGCTCAATTTTTTCAGGCAGGAGACAGACTTCTGCTGTAATAATGGGGTGCCCCATAAGTTAACAAACTCCCTCCAAGTTCAATAAAGTGGTAACCATTAATCCTTCAAATGATGGAAACTTCTAGAAAGTAACAGAGACCAACAAAAGGCAATTTTGAAAATTACATCAAAGATTTCAACAGAGACAGAATAAAAGCAGTTTAACATTAAATTTGCTTACTGGATCATATCACAGATATCTACTGTCTTCCTTTATTTCCTCTGATCCAATAATTCTAAGGTGTATAGTCCTTATATCCTTACAAGGTCTCTAAAAGGCTCAAGTAAAAATGACCTGAGATATTTCCCTAAGTGGTGGAATATGACATAAACCACTCTAAAGAATATTTCACTCATAAAACCTCAAAGAAAGTAACATCAATATTAGAAAAAAAAGAAGCTTTCTGATTCTTCATTACTCCACCCTTTTCCATGATTAATCTAGAGCAGGTATCATGTTATATACTTTACAGATGTTTCTTATGGGTCTGAATCACAAGTTATCTGCAAGCCATGAGCCACTGTGGGAGGCAGTATGTGTATGTGCTGCTGTAGCTTCAAGACACTCAGTAAGCAGAACTGAACACCAAGCGTGTGGGAGGTCAAAAAATAGAAAAGGGGGGAAAAAAAAGATTATAGCTATAGTAGATATCCACCCCTTTAATAGCTCAGTAAGAAGAGTGAAATGTACAGGTTTGAACTAGCGTTTACTTGGGCATTTTTCTAGTGGCCAATGGGTGTGCCTGCACTTTGGGTATTTTTCTAGGGAAAGTAACTATGTCCTACCATCTCTGAAAACTATACTTAGTGGCTTTGATTCATGGAAATTTGTTCTGCTTGTTTTGTGGAGACAGACATATCCTGGCAGCTCCTCACTTACTTCTATTGCAACTTTTTTGCAGCAAGAAGAAAATGTGTTCTTCCCTGAAGTCTTCTTGAAGCACAACCTGGAAGAAAGATGATTCCCATTAGATTCAAGCAAAAGGGGGGAAGTCGATTTTAAATATAAGATTCAAACCAAATGTCATAACAGCACATTAAAGAATGGCTCACATACTTTCGTTAAAGCTTGAGTTTTCTTTTAGAAAGCACTGCTTGAAACAAATAAGCATGAGGTTGGAAAAAACACTTTGTTAAAAAAGATTTTTGCTGTTTTGGTGGAATTTGCTAAAATGTAAAAGGAGTACATTACTTACCTATTTTAGCAGTAACCAGAGGAAACTGCAGGTGGTCACTCTGACACCACAGATGCTCGCAAGTAAGTGGGGTAAATGTTGTGCAGACATTTGTGCACTGGTAGCCGTGGCTACTAGAGAGTAAGTGCTTGGGAGCAGCAGTAACAAGGCCTCAAGATTGAAAGCGCTAACTCCAAAGCAAGAAGAAGGTCTCCTTTACGGCAAGAGGCCTTGTGCAGATGTCTGCACAAAAAATGACAGATGATACTACATAGAGCTACATGTCTGATGTTGCTGCTTGAGTTTACGAGTCTGTCAAAGTATGATCACGAGCACCACCACAGACCTTAAGCCCTGAAACATTTAACTGTATTAAGTATATCACAATTAAGGGTGTGATATTTCTTCTTTAGGAAAAAATAACAAAAACAATCCTTAGGTTGGGGAACAAATACCAATCAGAAAGCCCACGTCCTTTCAGCATGACACCAGAATGACGATATATGGCAGTAAGAGTAGACGGCTAATCCATTCTTTCTCACTAAAAGACCACATAAATTTTTATCAACTTTTAAGTTTTTTTGCTTACACAAGTGAGCTTCAGTTAAAAAACTCATTTCTTCAGCACATGTTATTCCCCAGTGGTGCCAGATAAATGAGAACCTACTATACTATTAAAGCTTTATGAAAGTTTAATTCATTATCAACACTATGATTTAATGATACATGGTTAAATGCTAAACATTACATTTGGCAATATAAAATGAGTCAAAGTGATAGCTATGACACAGAAATTTCACATCACTTGAGATTCTACTTAAGATCACCAGAGGTCAAAATGATCTATTTAAGATTATCTGTCTTTCAAAAAATTTATATTTACAATTAAAAGGGGATACAAAGGAAAAAACTACAACAGTATTTCATAGAAACATTTTGACCAAAATGAAACACTGCCATTAGCATAATTGTACTTAAAAACAATAAAACACTGATAAGATCACAGAGAACAAAAGTAGCCTGAAACCAATGCTGTGAATATTTAAAAAATTTTATTATAAGTTTTTGTAATTGTACCTGCATTTATTTTAGGCTTGACCTAATTTCTTTATTCCCTGAGCCACAGTTATTTTCAAGGTGAACTACATTTCTGTCTACCTTCTCAAGCAGTTATAACTGCCATGGTAGTTGAGTTTTTTTGTTTAGTTTTGTTAACAGTATAGATACAGGAAATTTTTACTATGCCATTGATTTCTTGAAAAAGATGTGCTAAGTATACATACATCACGGCATTTTTAAAAATAAACCTAAGTCACATTAGAAATCCATAATTAACCCTGACATATGATGTTGACTTAGTTACCTGTAATATTCAAATAATTTTCCAACCAAATACCAAGTAATTTTAAATCAGAGGAATTGTTGTGTTAATATATTCCATAGATACCTTACCACTATTAGTTGTAGGAAGGTACAGTTTCAGTGACGATGGTTTTAATCCCACACACATGAGAAATTGATTCTACAGGCTTATCCATACATGGCTTGATACCTTAAACTTCAATCAATTGCTGAATATATATTGTTTATTTGCCTATACACAATATTTGGGTAGTTAAGCTTGGCACAGCAAGCAGTGGTGAACTTAAATACTAAATGGTTTAAATTGGGGAAAGTAAAATTTGAGTAGGATTTCCCAATAGGTCATCAGAGGTTTACCTGGTATTTTCTTACTGACCCCTTTTCCCCCTTCCCTTCTGCACCTCCACCCACTAATTCCAACACACCCAGGTTCTATTTTAAAAGCCACCAATAACCCAGCAGAGTAAAATAGGGCAGTACTGAGAAAAGTTACTATTACCTTCCAGCCCACTCAATGATTTTAATGATTCATCGGGGAAACCCCAGTTGTTGAAATATACCTGAGATCTCCTTAAATGTGAAAAGATTTCTGCTTTGAAATATATGTCACCATTGATTCCCCTAAGAGAACCTATTAAAGGTAAGTATGAAGTAAAAATACATTTTGGTAAAAAAATTTTCCTCCAAGTAATATACCACATTCAATCATCATATGAGGGGGGGAGAAAAAAAGATATAAAGATAAAATCTACTAAAAAACTATTATGTTAAATCTAAGAAAATCAGACATAGCAAATTCATCCCACCTCCTAAAATCTCAATATAATCTCTGAAGACTAAATATAATCAGGTATCAAATGAAGAGTGATTACTTTGCAATCTGAAGACTGTATCATTGACAATATTCTATGTAATTAAAGAAAGTTTGGCTAATAGAAAGGAATGAATCAGATTCCTGAGCATTATTGTGAATTGTAGATAAAGTGTAATGGAAACTGATTATTATTCCATTATTTGATCATGGGACATACAACCTAACATTTATAATAACTTGTAGTACTACTGTGTGTACTTTAACATTTAAAAACATCTGTTTAATTTGAAAAGATCTATAGCACTTTAATATTTTATAACCCCACAATGCTATAAATGTTTAATTTCTTCAACTCTGACTTTTGTTTCCTGTTGTAACTAAGAACTGAGGATTCATTTAGGAAAACCAAGGTTTGGTAAGAAGACTTATATGCCATTCTGTTTGTGAGACAATTTAAAGCCACTTTCAAATGTGCTTTTCCAATTATACAGTTTGCAATGATTTTTAAGTACATGCTCTTTTCAAAGTTACAATCTGACATGCATACATTGCTGTTTAATTTTTCCTGACAAATATTTTTTGTTTTTTTTCGATCTGGGATTTAATTTTCTGCTTAAAAATACCAGCCATTTATTCAATGACTTGAATTAATATAAAGTCTTGATTATAACTGTCAAGAATCAAATGCAAATTGAACAAATATTTACTGAGTACTTACCATGTACAAAGCATTATGACATCATTCACTTGTTTTCAAACATGCATAATTTCCACAAATACTTAGATGTGCATATATTACTAATTCATTACCTTACACTCTGTAAAGTTATATTCCATATTATGTAGGAAAATCATGAGTTTTTTTGTGAGACGTTTGCTGGTTTAATTTTACTCACAAATAAAATATCAACCCTCTTTCAATTTTTCATTGCTATTAATTTCATGAATAATTTCAAACTATAAAAGTAGCAATGAATTAGTACCACTGAATACTAAAAATATTTTCAATTTGCTGACATTTTTAAATGTGGCAGCATATTTATGAATCAATATGAAAATTTTAAATGAGAAAATCATCTCATCACTCATTTGAACTATTACATTACCCTTTTAACTTGGTCTCCATACTAAAATACAATCTTGCTCCCACCACCACTCTCCATAAATCAGCCACAAATAATCTTTCCAAAATGTAAATCCGATCATACAGTGACATGCTCAAAATTCTCTATTGTGAGTGGAATTGTGTCCACTAAAAAGATGTGTTGAAGTCCTAAGCCTGGTACTTATGAATGTGATCTTATTTAGAAACAGGGTCTTTGTAGATATAATCAAGATGAGATAATACCGGATTAAGGTGGATACTAATCCAGTATGATGTGTCCTTATAAGAAGAAGTGACACAGACATCCAGGAGAGGACACTATGCCAAGATGAAGGCACAGATTGACATTTCTGCAAGTGAAAGAATGTCAAGGATTGCCAGCAGCTACCAGAAGGTAGGAGAAAGGCATGTGTGATAGTTATTGTGTCAGCTTGGCTAGGCCATGATTTCTGGTATTGTGTGGTTGTCCTCCATGTTGTGATCTGATGTAATTATCCTCCATTTTGTAATATTATGTAATTATCCTCCATTTTATGTGTTGTAAATCCTAACCTCTATATGTTAATGAGGTAGGATTAGTGTGTGGCATATTTTGAGTCACAGCCTTAAAAGAGGGTGACTTACTCAAGTCACACCCTTACTCAAGTCACATCCTTACTCAAAACACACCCTTACTCAAGTCACACCCTTATTCTGACGTAGGGGGAGTTTCTTTGGGAGTGTGACCTGCATCCAATATATATATGGATGCTCTGGAAAGGCTCTCCCTTGCTCTGGATCCTGCTTGTCATCTAGACTGTCATCATCTTACCTCCAGTTCTTGGGACATGAGCCTGTCACCTGACCTGCCAATTCTGAGATTTGCCAGCTTCTGCAGCCCTGTGAGCCAGCTGTCTGCCAACTGACCTGCTGATTTTGGGAACTGCCAGTTTCTGCAGCCCCATGAGCCAAGAGCCTACCATCTGACCTGACAATTGTAGGTTCATCAGCCCCTGCAACCACGTGAGTCAAGAGAAGCCTCCAGCCTGACCCACAGATTTGGGACTTGCCAGTTCCCACAACTGTGTGAGCCATTTCCTTGAGATAAATTTCTCTCTATGTATTTACATATATACACGTCACTGGTTTTGCTTCTTTAGAGAACCCAGCCTAAAACAGCATGGAACAGATTCTCCTTCAGAAGCCCCAGAAAGAACTAACCCTACTGACAACTAGATTTTGGACTTCCAGGTTCCAGAACTGTGAGAGAATACACATACCCAGCTTGTGATAATCTGTTATGGCGTTCATAGGAAACAAATATAACCTTCAATGTCTCTATTACCTAAGGATAAGATCCAACACCCTACACATGGCAGTTCAGAACTTCATTTTCTGGTCCCTGGCTTCCTCTTCACTACAGCCTCACTTCTCCTTCCCCCACTTACCAAGACTCTGTCTGCACTGTAGCAATACCAAGCACCCATACTCACACAGCTGTTTTTTTACCTC